GAAAATTACAGCTCTGCACAGTTCTGATTAATGACAACATTCTCTTTTAGAAAATTCAATAGGATACCCTTTCTGAAAGAAGTGGTCTTCTCAGCCATTTTGTGCAAAACCTCTCCTCAGTTTCTTAGAAGATTAAGACCAGTACATGTTGACAATCCTATTTATCCATCTTAGAAAGGTTTGACAATGCACTGTAAACAATCTACAATGTACAGATATTACTATAGCTTTGGACCATTCAGTCACTAAGTATGTTACGGGTCAGCAATTTTATATACATCACACACTGGAACAAGTTTGTGTCCTCTAAATGGCTCCCTTGGCATAACACTGATATATTTCTTTTCTTCAACTGGTCCTTGTTGACCCAGACACCAATGATATGGTTCAGCTCGCTCACTGCTGTATTTCACAAATCCCTCCACCAATGCAAACAAAGTATTGTCTTTACCAAGACCAACCTGAGAAAGAAAATTTAAAAACATTCTTTAATCAAACTATGAAAATGGCCTCTACATTGAAAGGGACAACACAGTTACATTATTACAAAGAGCAAAGTCACTGCATTCAATGTTGATGATTGACAATTGAAAAGAATTGACTTAATGTTCACGGGTACATATATATTTTGAGCCAGACTCAAGAGTTATTCTGGCCCAAACTACTAGGCAAGGGTTAAAATCACTCTGAGAAGGGCCAGAATTATATTTATGCCCAAGAACATAAACTTTATTTCGATTATTATCACTTTGAAGCGCATTGAGGAAATAAAAATAAGAACATAAATCACTTCTTTTATTGTAAACCCCATAAACTTACATTTAATCCTGGGTGATATTTGACCTCTGCCTTTCTTTGCTTCAAAAGCATAGTGCCTGGTGTGACACGTTCTCCTGTTAAATTCAAAGAGAAATGGTTACAGTCATCAACAATCAAATTTCACTGTTCAGATATTGAAATTGACTGCTTCATATGAAGTCAACCCTTTTTGTTTCATAAATTTTTATGGCTAGTTCTCTCTCAACATACTGTCTAAGTTCTGGTAAATTAAAAAAAGATGCACCCCCAACTTGAGAAAGTGATGATGTCAAGTTCCTAACTAAAGAGTTTTGTAAAAATACTTGGTTAAAAGATGCACAATAAGTTATAGCAACACACACACACACACACAGTGACAGACCAAATTCTGTCTATGGACCTAGAGTAGAGTAAAAAACCAGTTTTCAACGATAAACCCACCAAGATAATCAGTTATAGGATGTACCCCACAAAACAGAAGAAACACAAAGCCTAACATAAGCAGAGGGGAGGTTTTCCAAACATACTTTTACTTCAATTAGCTACTGTCAATGAAGCTCTCTGTCATACAGGTGTTTAACCTCAAATTTCTGCTTTTCTCTAATCAAATAGGACTACAGCTGCCATGTCAGCAATAGTTTTGTTGAAAAAGTTAAAAGAAGGACAGAGCACCAAGTGGTTCTTTTTCACAGTGAACATGCAAGTAAATGCATGGTGATCAAATCATTAATTGTAAAAATATCAAGCTTACCTTCCGTCCTCCTTGGTCCATAACCTTTACCCTTTCTTCTTCTATTGTGATGCTGACGATTCTTTGAATGACCTGCAGACTTCTTCACTGCTGTTCGGCTTTGTATAACAAGCACTGGCAGACCTGTTCCACAAGGTTAGCTGTTTAAAACATTTTTTTTTTTCAATTCTATTAACTCATGGTTCTATACCTTGACTCAGTACGCCGATCCCGGCGATTCGTAACCCGACCAGATCCAATTTTGAACTACGATAATTAACCTATCAACCTCAAGATAACTCGAAGGCAAACAAGCCTAATATGATAATAAATAAGGAGCCAAGCGTCCAACTACAAGCGGCCTAGCTTTGGTATCACAGTACGTATCTCCCATCAAAAACCTCCTTTCCACTTTTAAAACTGATGAAAATCACTTAAGACAGCTTATTTGGAATTAGAAACAAACGTTCAGACATGCTCACCTTTGAAGGGTTGGAAAACTCCCAATTTTCGAACGTGAAGCGCCGCCATGATGGCAGCCATATTCTTATGAAGCCATCGATCTAGTCATTCAGCGATACTCTATTTAACGAAGTTATATATGCATGTAAGGTACACCAATATTTCACCCTCGTTCCCAGGGCTTTCCCTCATTTTGGGGCAGGGCGAAAAGCACTACAGTAGAAATTAGAAGGTGGTTCCACTCACATTTTCAAAATTTTCAATATTAACTGGGTCCAATTCATTATGGTACCATTGGAAATATCATCCTTAAGTGTCATGATTGACATTTTGTAACCACGGCAACCAGTTTATAGGCCCCGACTGTGAAAAAAGGGTGCCTATCTGACAAAAAGGATATCTAAAGAACAAGAGGTCCAATAAATAGTATCAAAATAAACTGAAATGATAACTCTATGCTGTACACCTCAAAAAGTAAACTATAGAAGTATTTTTCAGAAAACCAACACTTTTTTCCTGAAAAGAACACTATTTTGGCCCTCCTCACTCTCAAAAAATTGAAATGAGATTCTTGCACTTTCACATAAATGCTTCTTTTTTGGTTCAGAACACAGCACAAATACAAGAGAAAATTCACTGAAAATTTTAGTTCAATTGCACAAAAATAAGCAAAGATATCCTTTTTGACGCGTTGGCTATTAAGGTAAAATTACAAAAAGGAGAAAACTGCGGTTAAAGTTCGAAGTCTGTAACACCACCACAGTATTTTGTACTGATTTTGATTTAACATATTAAAATCCACCAGGTACATAAGTATCACCCTCCTTTTTTATCAGTTTTCTTCTTTCTTTTGCCGCGAAGCAATCTTAGCGGCATCGTATTAAGCGGTCGCCCAATATTTAGCGGTCAGTTGTCAAAAACCCAAATTTGTTTCCACCTAATTACTCTAATTAATTTATTTTCACCCCTATGGAGCGGTCATCTTTATAAAGCGGCTGCGGTCACCCTTTACTAAGTCCCAACGTCCTGTGTTTATTGTCCTCCACCGGCAGTGAACGGCCCTTGAGAGCAGGACCATTCAAATAAGACTAAAAGTAATCTTCCATGAAATTTTTAATCCATGTTTCTCTCCCAAAATTAAAGTAAGTAGTATTTTCGAGCAAGATTCTGTACATTAAGTGGTCAATCATGGCATAAATTGGCGTTGTTTATGTTTTTTTTTTATTTTTTTTTATTATAATACCCCTTATCTGTGGAACCTGTATTGAGCGGTCTAGTGCACCCCACCATACCCCGTGACAATTATTTACCCAAGTGGTGACTAATGGTGGATATTTACCAAGCCGCGAAGCGAGGAGGTAAACATCCGCCGCTAACCACCGACACTGGGGTGAATAGTTGTTGATTAGTGTATGCCATACAGGTTAATAGTGGGCTCTGTGTGGTGTACACTAAAGCAATTATTCGCTTCAGTGTTTGTACCAAAATTCTAATGAATCTTTGTCACTTCCTTTTTTTAATGTGTGTATTCTTTAAACTCCAGTGTTTGCGAGTTTACTTTCCATCAAAATTCATCAGTTCACACCTTGAAAGCGAGGCGAGGGGTGAAATTAGGTATTCCGAAGTACACGTGCATCAGGCCTTTTTTACTTCAACACCCCTACACGGATTAAAAGTGAGATCAACCTAGAAATCACTGAGGAAGGGAAATTTATTTTAGACAGAGTCTTTTTTTTAAGAAAAAAAACCTCTATTAAATTAAAAATTGTTTATCGATTGATGTAGTTGTCTCTCATTTTTCATATTTACAGGGAATGTTATTAACAATTATAGCCCACCCATTAATTTTCGCTTGACTCTATCGGCTATTTACGTCACTTAGTGCAAAATCACCGGACAGTTATCACGCCATAACCTCGGTCTACGTCTGTATTTGTCCCCCGAATATTTCTGTCGAAAAGACCAAGCCAGTGAAGCCAATAGTAGTGACAGTAAAAAGCTGATCTCAAATACTGCTCCGGAAAAGTACAAAAATTCAACAAAATTTGCTATCAATGCGAAATACGAAAATTAATGGGAGGTCATAAAATGAATAAACCACCTTCTGACTTGCTGGTATGTTGGATGGTAACGTCCTTGGCTAAGAGATTGTCCTCAAAATTTCACATTTGCCCTCGAAGCTTCGCTTCTCGGCCAAATATTCTCAGCCGTTAACATCGTCAGCCGACATACCAGCCGCCTGAAGGGGTTTATTTACTTAATGTACAGCTTGCAAATGATCATGAGATCAGACATTCTGAGTAAAAGCACACTTGTTGGTTTAAACATATATATTGATTATAGAAACAAGTTCCACTCTTGTTCTTTGTTGATCGGTCTATAACAAAATTCGTTTCATAGATTTCGTTTCTTAATACCTAAGTGACTGTGGTCAAACTTCGGCACAAGTGCGAACGTTATACTGACTAGGTGGCGTGCTTTCTGGCTGTCAGAACCAAGTTGTCTCACACGAGTTACAAACAATCACACAAGCCAGTAAAGTCACGGGGTTGCAAAAGCGTAGAACTTTGTTTTGTAAAGCTCAAAACAGAATAGAAAATCAGTAGGATACCCGTTCTTAAATAAGCTTTGTGTTCGAAAAGTCTTGTTTCCGTTAATAGATCTCTGTGGACATTTCAATTTCTTTTCTCTTATTTTGCGAGACAGTGGTTGTTTCTCATGTTTTCCTAGAACATTTTGCGGGGGAAATTGGCGCGCAGCCGGCCAGAAATGATCCGCTCGCGCATGCCGGCCGACATTTGACCGCTGTGTTACGGGAGGCCCGTATTTTGAGTAATGTTCTGAGAGGACAGAGCTCAATAATGAAATGCTACGTCAGAGGGTATGCGGTCAACAACGCGGGCTCAAGTGTCCTTGGTTTAAAATTTAGCGAAATTAGCGGAAAATAATAAGGGCTGACCTTTAAAACCGAGGAACTCTGTTTTCGTCGAAGGCACTTTCCTATTTCCAAAGGTTTAAAGGAGAAAATTAATTTTTGAAAATTTTTACAGGGTATACCAAGTTTTTGGAGGTTGTTCTGTAAAAGAAAAGCGGCAAGGAAAACGACGCCTCGAAGCAACAGAATAGGAAATCAACCATGCGAACGACTCAAAATCCGTATTTCCACTGTTTCCGCGGCAAAACCTAGCGCATGCGTATACGTTATTCAGCTCTGTCTTCTGAGAGTGACCTGCACGTAGGCTAAGGAACACTAATAGCAACCGATAAAAGAGTTTTCCTTAACCTCCGGATCATCCCTGTAAGTTTCATTGTTGTTGTTGTTTTCCTTTTCCTTTGGCTCCAGTTTGGATTGTTCATCGATTCCTTTCCATTCCATATTTTCCATTTCATCGTAACACTTACTCTGTTCAGAGTTTTTATTTTCTTCTTTATCTCCTTGGCGTTCGGAAATTGACTTGAAACCCACCTTCGTGTGTCCTACAATAATTGATGACGAAAGCAAAGGCTTTGGCATATTTCCCATTTTCGGTAGCCAATGAACTGGTGACTTCATGCGCAGATAGCGAGTGTGTTTAATCTCCTCCAGTGAATGAATCTTCTTTTGACCAGCCACATTGTTTCCAATTGTTTCATCGTCATCGTCATCATTATCGCTGTTCCAAGTACATTCCTCCTCTTCCGCTTCTGGTCTTTTTGGACCTTTGCCATCTTCTACTCTATCTTCAAGCCCATCTTGCTTGGAGGAAAACCCGGTTAACCCTCCGTTCTCGGAGTTTAAGAAGTTCCTAAGCTTTTTTTCTGTCTTGGGAGATAAATTTTGAAGATCGAGTGCTTCTCTCGTAGTATTATCTGCTGCCAGACTGAGCACTCGCCTCTTGGCTCTCTCTTTCCCATTGTCGTCCAACATACTTGATAATGAACCCCGTGTGTCTAGTTTTGGCAAAAGAAACAAGCCCTCTTGAGGAGAACGCTGTGATTGGTCAGCCCCGAGAGGTTGAAAAGCGCGCAGTCTTCTTGGCGAAATTTGTGGTGACGTCGGTGCACGCGGTGACAGCCTTCCCACATCCTGAAATGTGGACAGTAAAGAACAGTTAGGATAAGGAACCTGCAGTTATAAAGTCAACAGGTAGTGCGGAAAGCACAGGAGAGTGGTTGAGCTGTGGTTCAATTTTTCTCTTGAATTCCTTTCTTTCAGACTATGATTATGATTATTAGACAAGGAAAAGCAAAAATCGAATTCGTTTGATATTTTAGATCCAGGCAAAACCTGGACCATGATATTTCGTTACTCACAGGTAAAGAAGCCCTACTTGCTTATCAAACGAGAAAGCACGGGAGAGTAGGTGAGCTGTGGTTCAATTTTTTTATCGAGTTTACTTTTTTAGACTATGATTATGAAAATAAGACAAGGAAAAATCAAAATGGAACTCGTCTGAAATTAAGTCCAGAAAAAACGTGAACCATTACATTTCGTTACCCACAGGTCGAGAAACCATACTTGCTTATCAAGCTTCTTTCATGAAACTCAACTTTTACCAGGTCCCAGGACTGATTAGGTTGTCATACCCAAGAGGCGGGTTTCGTTTTTATTTTTGAATGTTTCATAAATTTGAGGGTCATGAATGAATACTGAAAGGCATATACGTTTTATTTCAGTTTATAAAATTTACAAACACGATGGGGAGAAATTCCCATTTCCAAAATCATGATCAGGCTAACCACAGTACTCATAGAGCTATAAGGTAAAAGGTAAAATATACACTCCAACAACTCTAAGCCAAAATGCGTGGCATGGTGCACCTAAGAGGAACACTTTACCTCATGGATGGGATGGTAGTTTAATAAAGGTAACCCTTCCCCCCTCCTCCCCCCCCCCTCCCAGGTTTCTCTAAAGGTTTTTCTTTACTCATTTATATTCCCGGATGAAGAGAGACATTTTGTGGTTAAGTGTCTTCCCCAAGAACGTAACATTGCAACTTGGTCAGGTCTCGAACTAGGACCTCTCGATCTTGAGCCTGCAAGCTGTTGTTTCCCATTCCAAGAATTTTTAGGTTACTATCCTTAGCCACCCTCTGAGAGCCTACTTCCCTGAGAACAAGATTACGAGATATAATCTAAGAAATAAATCCCCTGTAATGCCCGCCATTCGCACGAACCTTTTTAAGAATACCTTTTCTAATAGAATTGTTTTTAAGTACAAAGTAGCTTTGTAAAAGTGTACTTCTTGTATTCGATTTTCGTATTTGTCTCTACGTATATACTTATCTTATTTAGAGATACAACTAAGCTCATTTACATCCTTTTTTTAATGTAACATAAGATATGTAATTTTATCTTTTGAACAATAAAGACACTATTATTATTATTATTATTATTATTATTATTTAAAAAGTATGGCGGGTTGAGTGGTGCAGTTGTACTGTACCTCTCATTTAATTCAGAATTACGAAACTATTAAACGGAGACCAGAAATAATTGTTGACAGTGTTTTTTGTCTTAAGCTGGTCACATATTGTATTCGTTTTTGTAATAGCGTTCGTATTGAAATCGCACCACTGCTGGCAGTAAGTTCTCTAGTTTAAGTCTCACATGTAGTTTTAAACAGGAAGAAAATTCCTTTGTATTTTCTACTCTCGGTGTACAAACTTTATGGGTGGTTTGCACATCACGTCATTGCCGCCATGTTGGTGGACGTAAACAATAGATATCTCATTAGCTCCTTTTATTCGTCCACCAGCATTTGTTCCTTTCACTATTGTTACCTGTCTCTAGAGATTGGTTGCAAACCACCTATAATGTAAACTGTGTGTAGTGTTTATTATGTAAACTAGTGTGTAGTGTTTGTACCGTATCGTAAATTGCTCTCTCGTGGCACAATTGAATGTGTGGAAAGGGCCCCATTGTTCAAGTCTTCTTGTTGTGCCATACTGAACAGAGAACAGTTATCCACCAAAGATTCCTCTAGAATGAGGCGCTGATTCGAAACATGCATGATCCGAACGAAATTGCCAACCACATGGTCAATTTTGTTATTAACTTTGCCCGATTAATTCTAGCACTACAGTTTTGGAACAGAACGTCAACCTATTATGATAATTAATCTATCATTTATCTTTACTATGAAAGAAACCATCCACACATTGTGGTCTAAGTGTCAACAACAAGATAGTGCGAAGTTTGCACCCTTTGGAATTATTTTTGATACCTCTAAATACTCTATCAGCATTCAAGAATATTAATCTTTCACAAATGGTCAGTTTGAAAATAAATTGCTCATTTGTATAAAGCACCACATTCAAGATGAAACTTTAAAAAAAAAAAAAAAAAAAAGAGGTTTAAAAAAATTAAATGCATCTTACGTATTTTCCCAGCATTATCCATATGATGGATGAATTATTACATTTTGCGATAAACTTTAGATTTTAGATTTTTAGGTAAAAAAGATGATTCATGCTGATCAAACGAAACTTGAAAAGCTGACAAAAATCATGCTCTTTCTGTTCGTTCTGCTGTTATTGATCGAGCCTGTTCACGGTACGATCGAACAAGCAAACCAAAAATTATTTTCTCAAATTTGTACATCATGCGATGTTTACAAAGTCACTTCGAACAACAGATCCTCACAGAGCAAACTTACCTCTAGGTCAACTGGGCATGTCTCCGTGCGACATCGCCTACCTTGTTTGGTAGCTGGAGTTGATTGTAATCGCCCCAAGGCGATTTTCAAATCATAACCCTGACTTTTACCTAAGCTCGAGTCCAACGTGAAAGCGCGTCGTCGTGGAACAGTGGGCGAGTTCGGTAGAGAATGGCTTTGAGCCAAGTCATTCGAATTACTCAACCGAGATAGCATTGAAGAACGTGTTGCTGGTAGGCCTATTCCTGGCGAGGGAATCTTAAAACTTGTTGAACCAGAGTCATTCCTTGCCTTGATGGCGTTTGTTGCTCCTTGATCAGCGCTTGGAAAACGATTGTCGTCCTCCTGATGTAACGTGTCACTTTCTTCCAACGCGAAGTCTTTTTCAGAGATGATACTCCTTGAGCGGTAATTTAACTTACCCATTTCGTTACTCGAAGGTTGACTCCGTGGGCGCACTAAAGGCGCCGGCGACCCAGCGTTGCGCTGAGTTGTAAAATTACTAGAGGAACCAAGGCAAAACTCGGCAACTTTTTTCTGGATCGCTGCATTGTCAGGCCATGTCGCCGAGCATGTTTGGTGAATTGATGGTAGTTTGCATTTACGAATGAAATCTAGCTTCTTTTTGGACAAAGATTGCATGAAATGCTTTCTTTCTTTCTGTAGAGTGGAAAGATCTTTTCTTAGGTCTTCGTCGTATATGGAATTAATTTCAATAGCCTTCTTAATCTTACCGCTGGAGATGGCATCATTCTTGATCAAATCGGATATGCGGTGCGCCATTGAGATCAGTACAGGGACTTTTATGCCACTTTTATGATGATTGAAAAACCAGTTAGTTCTTAAGACAGCAGTTTGTGGTTTACTTAAAGGTTTCAATTCGCGAATGACTTACTTATACTACTCAAGTTCTTTGTTGCGTAAAACAAAAGAAATAAAATCCTTTTAAGCGTCCTTTAAGGGAGTTCACAACCGGAAGGGTTAATTTTTTTTCGAATCGTTTCACTGCTTGATATACTTATCGTCCATTTGTTAAATCCAAATATTTGATGATAAAGCCTCGGCCAAAAATCTCAGTTAAAACAAGGAATGTGCAAAAGAGTAGTTCGGTATTGTTCTAATCTTAGTCGAGAGTCAAACAAAAAGAAATGAACTCATTAGAGTTTCTTGCAGTGACGACCATTGCGTCACTTACACTCTGTGCCAAACAACAATTAATTTCTCAGCCGCAGTTCTCGTGCTTTTGAGTTCAATGTTTTTTGCAAGTCAAGTAAAGCGCACAAGTCAGAAATGCCACAAATTGCATCGATGCTATTAATTTTCTTGTATAGCCTAGTTTTAAAAGTGTACAAATAAGATTACAATAATCAGCTCAAAGCATTAAAAGTCCCATGAGAACGTCAAAAAGATAAGCGCTATTGTTCTTGTAAATTTGAGAGTTGATTAAAAATATCTTTTAAACCTATTGTAGTGTTTTTTTTTTTCTCTTTTACTTATCTGTGATCATTTTATTTTTTCAAAGGCAGAAATGAATTTGGGTGCTCTGTTTAGGATTTGTAAATTATAAGAGACATTTGAACTTTTCTATACAGGGTGTGATTTTGGGGTTAAGGTAACATTTTCCATTATGAGCGACTGCCGAGACGGTAATAGCCAGCTGTCCCCGGAAAGTAGGCGTAAGGCGAAACCCAAACGGGAGAGCCTCTTTTCAGGCTCAACAGACGGCGGTAATAGGTCTTATAGACAGTGATTGACTTCTACGGTACTATAAAGAGAAATATTCCGTGACCTTCAGATTTTCATGTTTTGGTACTGGCTAGCGGTATACAATCGAGGATATTAGCCCCAGTTAGAAGAGTGAAGAATGGTCTGTCCAAAAACGAAGGGTATCGCAGACTCTTTTGCGCCTCGTGAACCTCCTTTGCAGGGAGTCACGGTTTTCAGTGTCCCATCCGTATATGACAAAACATTACAAATATTCTCATCCTGTCCTAGAATCGATTTCACGCAGTTAAAGCTTGTCAGTCACCCTGTCGCAAAGCCGTGCTCATTTACAAGCCATTCGCCATTCTAAACGGATAAATCAGCCGTGACCAGGTTAAAAAATAACCGGCTTACCAATCAGAAGAATTTTTATAAACATACCCCCCCCACCATTCCTATCCCAGTCTACAGCAGAATCCATATAATCATAAGAGTTACCTGTTTGCTGCTTTCGATTTCTTCACAGTTCAATTTCATCGAGCGAAGTTTCTGTCCCTCTCTCGAGAGCTCCGCATCATCTAATTCTTTTCCCTGGTCCCAGCTCTCTGCGCGCCGGCGCTGAAAACGGGGTGAGGCAAGCAGCGATACGCTCTGCCTTTCAGTTGCCGCGTCTAAAGGAGCTAACTGAAGCTTGGAGAGCTGTGAGGCCTTCCTTTGCAGAAGTGGTGAGAGGGGCAACTGCGTCCCCAGACTTGTATAAGGGGCTGGAACTCTCAATTTGGTCTTGAATGTGCCCTGCTCCGGGTCGGAGCCGTATGCCTCCTGCTCCTCTTCCGATTCAGTTATTTTTGCAGGCAGCAAGAGGGTTGATACTAGCGGTGGTTTCGGCGTCTCGCTCGGGAGGTTTTCGCTATGTCTCCTTCGCTCTACAAAGAGCCGTGGTCGGGAAGTAGATCCGATAGCAGGCGGTAACAGAGTACTGTCCTGTTCTGCTGCAGTATTTGATATTTGATGGTTTTGCTTGTTAAAATTCACCACGTCGTTCTTAGATGAGGATAATTCCTTCAATCTCCTTTCACGAGACTCAACTAACGCTGAACTATCTGAAAGCTGTTTTGTGAGTGGACTGCGTTTACTACGTTCTTTTCCTCCAATCTGCCCAAGCGAGGAGAACAGTTTTGGAAGTGCACATTTTCTTTCTGTAAGATTCAGCTTCTTCTCTTCAAAAGAGCGCACGAGACGCTTCTTCTGATCCTCGAGGCTGTCTAAACTATTTTGCAAGTTACCTCCCGCTGCTGTGTTTCGCATGACAGCTCTTTTGTATTCTCTACTATAAGTTCCCATGGCCATGATTGAGCCTGAATATTTCGTCGTCGACTGTCATCGTTATTACTACGTAGTTGACCGGTCCTTTCACTCGAGACCAAGCACCCCAGTGGCCAACTTTTCGATAAACGTCGTTCAACCAAACAAAATTTGCACCTTTTTCTAATTATCCCTCAGTTTGAGTATGATGGATGAGTTTACCAATTAAAATCTCTTGGTTGCATTCCAAAGTACAACTGGGTCTTTCAGTAGAGCTGACACACACTCTAAAAGCTTTTACATTTCTCAGGAATTTAATGACATAGAAAGTCTTTCTCGCGCCTATCTGTCTGCGTACTTAATCAAAAATCACTCACGTCTCAATCGTTTTACGACGCACACTTAGCCCAGACAAGAGAACTACGGGAATTTGCAAGAATAACCGCGATAGAGTCAATTAACAAAAATTAAGTGTTGTGTTCTTTAACCCAACTGTATGGAATTCCTTTACTGGCCTATAACCTGAGAGGAGGTTTGTTAAACAATTTAACTATAAAGAATTGCGATAAAATCGAAAAGTTTAAAAAATTAAAAACCATCTTGGTTTAAGAAAAATACGACGACGTTTCGACGTTCGCTTAACTTTATTATCAAGTCAATAACGAGTGAAATGAGAACGAATATAAATGTAAAAGAATTCCTAAGAGACACGGATAACAAAATTGAAACTATGTAAATAACAAAGAATTCACACGCAGAGTCATATATTCGCATAAAGAGTCACGTAAACAGTTTGGCGCGAATAGAGTCTATCTGAGTATTTAACTCGGGGTTCAGTTCCTTTATGAGTTCCTTTATGAGCAGTTAGAGGGCAGTTAGAGGAATGGATTTGGAAATGTTAATGGACGATGGTGACTGTGTGGGCTGCTTGGTTTGCAGTGCATAATTCTTAGTTATATCTTAGTTAGGCTCAGACTATTCCTCCCCCCCCC